TACGTGTTTATCTCGGGGTTGTGTAAATCTGACAAAAATTCAAACTGCAATCGAGGTTTTTTTGAAAATGAGGATACCAAAGGACATGAAGTAAGGATGACTGTCGTGATGCTATGGTTTCATAAAGTACACCTTAAGCCACAGCTCATAATCCTTAACTAGCATAAAATTTGGCAACAATTTCATCCGAACCATTCAGCTGATTGTCGATGCAACAAGATTATGGCAATTAAGTTCTCCATGACTCACCACTCAAGTCGTAGATCATGGTCCCGGATCAACAACTTAGGTCTTCGAATTCGCAATTTAAGCTATTCTCCGAAATGCAGTCAACCTCCTATCCTATCAGTAAACGGTCGAAGGCATGTCAACATGAGCCTCCACTGCACATTTTCAAACGAAGCCATTCACTAGGACACAGACCTGTAATGTAATGGCGAAGACGTAACGCCACTTTGGAAGACAGAGAGGCTGTCGCGTAATGACAAACTGTCATTGCAACTCACTGATGAGTTGGCTCAGGCCAAACAGTCTATGTAGGTAATGTCACAACTTTCAGAAAAATTCTTACCCCTAATTTAATTGCTGTCGCAAACACTATCAGACGGCGCGGAACTCGGAAGACAGCCAACCTCAAAATGCTTGCTCTCTGAGAAATTATTACAGTGTTGTTTCAACCACCTCTTCTCCAAGCATTTACGAATCAAATTCTCATTGTTAAAAAATCTAGACAAGAAGAGAAGAACGCTTTAAGCCAACTTTTCATAGTTTTTCCGGACAATGGCCAACACGTAGTCAGTGGAATTTGAGGGCTTGAAATTGATAGACAGGCATTGAACGAGCTACCCTGCTGAAAGGCGACTAACATCGTCATAAATTCAAACCTTGGAATTACAGGTGTGGGGGTGGATGTGAGTGTCTGCGTGTAACGGCTTCCCCCAAAACGCAACCGCATTCACATTGTGGGCTGAGGCTCCAGTGGAACAAGTCAACTAAACACAGAATGTTCCGTTGCCAAAACATTTAATTAGCACGTTAACAAGGTTAGCGCCACTATCCACCCTAACAATTGTATCATTCTACCATCTCACTTTGGTCTGAATACAAACAGAGCGTTCAGGAGTGCATAAAATTGTCACTCATTAAATTAGGCTTCCGGTTTTGGAGTGAGAGAGGTGAACAGGTTGCAGCATGTTAATTCGCAAGACGCAGTTATGATGTGCTACCATTAGATGGCATCGAATAACAATTTAGCGTTTTGGATGTTGAAGGAGGTTGCTGAACCCAGGCATCTCCAGACTAGTTAGTGAACGTGACGAAACACCCTTTTCATTGTTTGACGCAGGTGTATCGCCAATTTTACGAGTGATGCCACGTCAATGGGCAAACTCGAAAATAACCTTTACTCACACTTAACAGTAACATTGCACAGATTTGACGGACTTCTAATAAAGTAAGAATTATGCTATGCGAGCATTGTGGACACACTTTAAATATTCACTTAATCGCCGAACTATGCAAGGTAAACATGTAAAGGCACCTCTACGAATACGGGAGTACTTAACATTACAAACAAAACTTTAATGCTTTTCAGGTTAAAGGCACTGTGAATACTATTTTCCGATGTTTTATAATTTGTTCTACCGAACTGCATCCTACCAATGTATTTATAAGTAAATGGTTATATTCCTCGGTTTTATTTTGATGTGAGTTTCAGGATTTAAAGTGGAACCTCACTTACAGCATTTCATTCAATCATGTGGCTCTACAGTGATAAAATCTTTTATAATTGAAAAAATGATAACTTTCTATATTTTACATTCGTAAAACGGTAAGTTAATTAATCGAATATTATTTTTTTGGTGCCAGAAACTTGAAGGTTTCGTCAATATAATTCCAGTAAGTTAAAACCGGTTCCCATTGTACCAGTGAAGCATATTCTACAGCATCACTTCCTTTTATTAACTTGGGTTACAGATTTTGAGCTCGGGATCAGTGGCATCAAAAGGTAACATCCAGTCTTAAGGCCCAAACATCCCTATTTCCCTTCCCAGCGCCATATGTTGAAGTGTTGGGAGAAGGCCAAAGAGCATAACGATGGTCTCTTGGCAAAAGAAATAAAGTGATGTCCTCAGCTCTGTGTACTGAAGACAATCCAGCCTGTAAACTATCTGCAAAGGATAGTTGCCTGTACATTAACTGACTTGAATACAAAAATGGTGACTGAGAAGTACTGAAGTAAAGGCGAAGGTGGTGAAGAAGTGTACACAAAGTTCTATCGTGCCAAAAATACTCCTTCGCACCCTTTGTTACAGGACTCTGGTTTTGCGTTAGCGCTGTTGTAAAATAAGTGTGGACATGTATTTTCCTCTTTCTCAAGTTAGGATTCCATGCAAGGGAAAACTTTAACTCCAGTGAAAATTCCGAGAGAGAGATCAGTCAAAGTGTAGTCAAACGTTTTTCCAGCTGCACAGACATTCGTTAGGTGGTGTGATTAGATCGTGGATGTTTTTATTACAGCAATGACTGAGGTCAGAGGCTGGAGTACTGGAGACGAAACTTCAAATAAGAGAGAGCCTCGTGACACCACGTTTAATAATGAGGTTGCTTGGGTGCTTTGCCACTTTGCTACATCCTCAAGTGATTAAGGTTTCATTTATATTAGCTTACTGTGCAATTTATCATCTCGTAAGTTAATTGCAGTGCCTGTACAACACTTGAACTCACAGTGAAAACCAGAATTCATTAAACTCATCACTTAAGCTTGGGTTGAGGTTTTTGCCAAATGTAGTTGCTACTCTTCAGCAAGCAACATCCTTTTATGGTTTTCCCATTTGTGAAAAAGAAAGCAATGCTAGCCAAAATGGCAAGACTTGTCTTGTTGGAGTTCGTTAAAAATGGAAGGCGTGGGCATAATAGCCTTTTGCATCAGGTAGTTTTAAACACCACCAAACCAAAGGCAACGAAAACGACAAGGACATTTTCAACCTAATAATGATAATAAGAACCGTTCTTGTTTCATGGAGGAAACTGTGTTGTTTTAAACGAAACCGATTGTAAGCAAAAAACTTGATTTGTTCCGGTCGCATAACTGTGGCGCCGGTAAGGAACGGAGTTTGTGATGTGGAGAATGGGACAAGGGTAATATTCTCTACTGAAATTGCAAGTGACCGGCTCTGAGCCGGTGTGGGAATGATTAAGGCGGCGTAGAATGGATTGCTATCGTGCAATTATTAAACAGTCAAATTCTACTCAAAGTTCCTCTAAGCTTATGAGGTGGCAGAATAAATCATTGTACAAATTTTTACTCATCTCCATAAATAGATTTGTGGGTAAATAAGCGCTGAAGTTAACATTTTAGTCCACTTTTTGTAATCATTTATTTGGCTAATGTGGATATTTCACAACAATAGCAAAATGTAGTTCCGTTTGGCTTTGCTGTTGACAAAAAGAGACATAAGATGCGGGCAGAACCTGCATGTTTGGCACTCAAAGGGACTGTTGGCAGTCCACTTGACGAAATCGCAATGCGCCTGTCACACTGTGGCTCCTTGCCGAAGGGGAGGGTCAAACCTGCCGTCCACGTTCGTGGACCTTCTTTGCACTGATGCGGCGTTCGGAGTCCAAGGAAAGCAAATACTAAGGCGGGATACACAATACCGAAGTATAGGCATAGCTTGGAGGGCCTCACCTTGGAGTAATCGTGATTTGCAGCGAAACAAAGCTGTGTGTTAATAATGAAACTTCAATAATTAATTTCACAAAAGAATTTTGTAGGCGTCGTAACGGATTTAACTCAAAGCAGGCTGTCACAACCGTGGGCGATAGCCGAGGCTTGTGCACAAGAGGCATCGCGTTGAGCAGGTACTTGTGAACCAGTACGGATTCAGAGGATGGAAATGTTTTACGGGATGAAAATGAATAGAATAATAGTTTCAATGAGCACACTTTACTAAATAAGCGATCGCTATGTGAAATTTAGATGCTGAAACACAGAGCCACCATTAATGAGAAAAGTGCTTCAGACAATTATGGCTTAACGACATTG